ATCTCAATAAGAACAATTGAGCTTCTATCTTTTCTGTCACCGGTGCACAGCCAAACTCGCAGCGTCCTAGCAGGTGGAACAAGTTCGTTCGAGGCCAAAATAATTCATCCAGGGGACCAACGTCATATTATGACTTCCACAAGCGATACTGTTTAACTAAAAAATGAAGGAGAGTGTTTTCGACTCGTCCAGGTAGAAGCCAAGCAACAGCCGACCAATACAATGCCAAACCAACAGGCCGCCCCTGTTGATTCAGACATGGCACCACCAAAGCGCGAGCGAGACGATCAAGAAAAGGGTAACAACCAACGCCCTACTAGACGAAGGATTAACATGATCATGGGAGGCATTCCGTCATGAAGGGATTCAATACGATCAATCAAAGAGTCTGAAAGGAAATCCATCGCGGTCCAGCTCTGGAGACAAAACCCCAGCGACGAACTAAAAATAGGCGCCAAGGTATTCTTTGACGAAACTGATACCGAGGAACTCCACACACCGCATAACGACCCTCTGGTCATCGAACTAAGAATCGGAGATTGTGAAGTAACAAGGGTCCTGATTGACACTGGAAGCACCGTGGATTTGATTTTTAAAGAAACTCTGCTATGGATGGAGATGCAAGGCTACAAATTCAAAGCCAGCATAAAACCACTAAATGGATTTGTCGGCGACCAAACAATGACCATCAGCACTATAAAACTCCCAGTATACGTTGGGCGAATCACCAAGGTAGCCAAGTTCGTAGTCATTGATAAAACGTGATTTTGAGGACATCATGATTGCACGAAATGAAGGCAGCATCGTTCACCTATCACCAATGCCTTAAATTCCCAACATCAAACGACGTCTTTACAGTTTGGGGAAATTAGCGATTAGCAAGAACGTGTTTTATTATGGAACATAATATCAGAAAGGCGGCACAAACATGCCTTCTTGTGACGAACGTCAAGAACAAACTTCTACCCCCCCCCCCCCCCCCCCCCCCCCGATCAATAACGAGAAAGTGTTACACATGTAAACATTAATCTGCGCGATCCTCAGCGGTGAGTTGGCATCAGGACCAAAATAAGCGATGACATACGCGACCGGCTCATCAATTTCCTCTGTCAAAACGTCTTAACGTTTGCTTGGACGACCAAAAACATGAAAGGTATCCCGCCATCCCTCGCCAGCATGAGCTGCAAGTTGATTCAACCTACAAACTGACCAAACATAAGAGACGCAAACTCGGACCGGAATGGTTGCAGGTAGTTAACGACAAGGTAGAGCGACTGTCAAAGGCAGGGTCCACCATGGATTTCGATACCCAGAGTGGTTGGCCAATCCTATGGTCGGTAAAAAGAAGAATGACAACTGGAGAGTTTGCATCAATTTCACCGACCTGAACAAGGCGTGCCTAAAAGACAGCTTTCCTCTTCCCCATATGAAACGCCTCATGGAAGCAATAACCGGGAACAAACTTTTATCATTTATGAATGCCTTTTTGGGTTACAACCAGATTATGATGCACCCCGATGACCGGAAAAAGACTTCTTTCATCACAGAGCGAGGAACATACTGCTACAAGGTCATGCCATTTGGATTATGTTCGCCAAGCAAATGGAAGACACCATGTAAGTTTATGTTGATGACATGCTTGTCAAATCAATCAAAGCCGATGACCATATTGACCACCTAGCACGGTGCTTCAAAATCCTCAATGAGTACGATATGAAGCTAAACTCGGCTAAGTGTACGTTCACCATAAAATCAGGAGAATATCTAGGCTATCTCGTCACCAAACGGGGGATCGAGACCAACCCGAAAAAAAATCACTGCAGTCCTTGCACTCCTCTCCCAGAAGAATACGCGAGAAGTGCAACGCTTGATGGGCAGAATCGCCGCCCTCAACAGATTTATCACCTGATCAATAGATAAATGCCCATCCTTCTATCAGCTTCACCGGGGAAATAAAAAATTCAAGTGGGGTGAGAAATGTGAAGCAGCCTTTGGACAACTCAAGGAATATTTGTCCACTCTACCGATAATGGCCAAACCCGAATTCGGCAAGACATTATATCTTTATGTTGCAGTCTCCCACTCAGCGGTCAGTGGTGTCCTGGTTAAAGAGGATCATGTCGAGCAAAAATCTATCTTCTACGTCAGCAAATCACTCGACGACCCAGGAACGAGGTATCCAACTCTGGAAAAATTAGCCCTTGTCGTGGTCACGGCAGCCATAAAGTTACAACCTTATTTCCAGTCTCACTCCATCACTGTCCTATCGAACCATCCACTCCGAATGATTTTGCACAGTCCAAGCCGATCCTGCCAGATAGCAAAATGGGCAGTTGAACTGAGCGAGTATGATATCGATTATAAGAATAGAACGTGCGCAAAACCTCAAGTTCTTGCTGACTTCCTCATCGAGCTACCACCAGGATCTACCAGTGAAGATGTCCCCTCAGAAGAGAAATGGTCCTTATACATCGACGGCTCTTCATCCCGCAATAGATCAGGAGTCGGGGTCAGACTTATATCCCAACAGGTGAGATCCTCGAGCAATTGCCGACTCGAATTTGCAGCGTTCAACAACGAGGCACTCATCGCCGGGCTACGCTTAGCCAAAGCAATAGGAGCAAAACAGATCCAAGCATTTTGCAACTCACAGCTTGTAGCCAGCCAATTTAACAGGAAGTATGAGGCTAAAAACCAGCGTATGGATGCCTACCTCAAGGTCGTCCAAAATCTCGCTATGGACTTCAGTAATTTTATCCTCACCATATCCCGCAAACTGGCAACTCACCAGCTGACGCTCTTACTGCCCTCGCATCTACTTCTGACCCTGCCCTTCGACGACTCATACCTATCGAAAGCATATCTGCACCGAGCATAGAGCTAACAAAAGGAGTATGTGCTATTGCAGAACTCAAAGAAGGCCTCAATGATGCCGATGTAACCAACTGTGAACTGATGGACAGGGCCGGTGAACCCGTCGAGATTGATTAAAGAGAAGAATTAATAGCATATCTTTCCGACGGAGAAGTCCCACCAGTTAAATGGGCAGCCCGGCGTCTCAAAGCACGATGTGCCCACTACACTCTTGTGGACGAAACTCTCTGCCAATTGAGCGCATCTAGGGTCCTTATGCAATGTATCCCTAGTAACAAAATTCAAGGCGTCATGGAAGAAACACACAAAGGAACAGGTGGCAATCACTCCGGAGGTCGAGCATTGGCACTAAAAATAAGAAGCACTGCATGTTTTGGCCGACCATGATCACAGATTGTGAAAAATTTGTCGCTCATTGCAAAAAATGCCAACGACATTCTCTGACAATCCGTATACCATCAGAGTTTTTGACGGCATCCACAGCCCCTTACCCTTTCATGCGCTGGGCGATAGACATTATCGGATCCTTCCCACGATCCCGGCATAAGAGGTTTGTATTAGTGATGACAGATTAATTCACGGAATTGGTCAAAGCCGTAGCATACGCTAAAATCCATGTCGTCGACATCCAAAAGTTTGTATGAATGTTCATTATCTGCAGGCATGACGTCCCACACGAGATTGTCACTAACAACGGTTCCCAATTTACCTCGGCCTTATTCGAAGATTTATGCACGAAATGGAAGATTGGACTAAGTAAATCGACTATGCGGTAACCCCAAGGTAACAGACAGGCCGAAGTGATGATAAAGACAATTCTCTTCAGCCTTAAGAAACGCCTTTATGCAAAGCAAAGCACCTACGCAGACGAACTCAACGGAGTTTTATTATCGCACAGAACCCATGATCGACAAACAGGACCCCTTTCAATCTCTTTCATGGAATGGAAGCCTTGTCACCAGCTGAAGTAGGAATCTCCTCCCTTCGGAACACAATGATGGCCAAAAACATCGCGCTCAATGACGAGTTGATGAAGGAGCACATCGACTTACTAAAAGAGGAATGAGACCAAGCACTGCTAAAAATTTAAAACTATCAGCAACTCGCGGCTCGGGATTATTACAAAAAATTCCGAGGCCGGCACATCACCGAAGGTGCCCTTATGCTTTGCAAAGTCTTTGAAAATACACGCGAGCCAGGTGCAGGAAAGCTCGGCACCGGATAGGAAGGACCCTACATCATATCTAAGGTCATTAAACCAGGAGTATTCGAACTAACAACGATGGCGGGTGAAGCAATCCCAAGATCATGGAACCTCATGCACATCAAAAGATATTACTACTAAGGACTGTGTTTCCACCTTGAGCTCCTTTCGATTGAAAAATAAAAATAAAAATAAATAAATGAGAACTACAGACGACTTGATACTGCGCTTGGGTACGTAGACAACCTTTTCTGAAGTCTAGCTATGACAAAAAAATAGAATAAATGAGAACTACGGTCAGCTTGAACCCACAGTTGGGTACGTAGGCAGCCTTTTCGAAGGTCCAACAATGACAAAAAACAAAGGATTCTTTGATCCGCATCAAAAAACCATCCAATTTAATGCAGCCCGTCAGTCTAACACAATGTCGGCACCCTGGCCAGGTAGCCGATATCAGCGCTCTCTACACGAGTGAAGTGGTGAAATAATCCACCTCTTCGTTTTTCAAATTTGTCGACTTAAAAAGCCGGGTCCAATCCTGCACAAATGAGCAGGATAAGCCGAGTCAAACCTCGCACATAGGTTCAGTAATAGCCGAGTCCCAACTCGCACGAAGACGTCGGAACGAACTCATAAACTGAACAACTCGTCGGTTACATTTTCGACCTCGGAAGATAACAAACTTACAAATTCAAAGGATAAACTTCCGACCAACTCAAAATCAAGAAAAAACATGCATTACTTCAAATTCCAAAGGCACAAAATAAAAATCCAACAAAGAAGCAGAGGCGCAAGTCCAAATCCTCAAACATCGCAAAGTCCAAATCCAACAAATAGCAAAAAAAAAAAAAAAAAAAAAGAACCAAAACAGTGGTACCAGCAATACAACACCGATCAATGGAAAACGACTAATGCTCTTGCACTACTGAGAAGCTACCTTGTTGGGAGTAAGACTCACCGACATGCTTCCATACTGGCTCTCGGGGGGCATGACCAGCTTAGAAGAAGCTAAGTGCGCCATCCAATTGCTAATCTGACTCACGACAAAATCATTATCCTGAATGTCTTTGACCTCTAACGTCAAAGCTGCCTCCTTAACAGAGTTCATATTGTCCCTCAGACGAGTCATTGTACCTTTGGGGAGGAGAGTCTCATCGCTTACCAACTCGGTGACATCATCACAAATACCCGATGCCAGCGTGTAAGTAAGAACAGCCTGTTATACTGTCTCATTGCTTTGTAGAACCTCTCGAACCTGCCTAGCCGATCACGATACTGGGGGACAACCATGTTAAGGACTCTTCTCCTCTCACCTACCGTAGGGCCATCTCTCTCATCCTCAACCTTAACCTAATCCGCCTTGACCTCGCGGTAATGAGTTTTTGCCAACTCCCACTTCTCCTTGTAATCCTCGACCTCTTTGCAAGACGCCTTAAACTTCTCCTCAGCCTCGTTTGCCCTCTTTTTAGCCGACCTCTGCTTTTCAATCGCGTGATCCTTGGCTTTCTGTGTGGCATCTCGTGCGCTCTCCATGATACGGATCTGCCAACGCAATAAGAAGTCAAGCTGATTTGTGGCCACCGCCGTCTGTTTAAAACAAAAAAGTCAATATTAAGAAAACAAGGAGGTAGACGAGAAAATCGTAAACTAAAAACAATGAAAGAAATCAAGGAGAAGATAAACAAAAATATACCCAAAGAGTAGAGCACTGGTAAATATGCGTTGCAACAACGTCGGATTCGAAAGGAGAGTACTCCCTATAAGAATGACTGATATTTCAGTACAAGTTAACACAAGCCCCTAGATCGGAAACAAACAGATGGTTCCCAATGTACTGACACCTAAAAGAGTAATCTCTGGCAGGCTCGACGACCCTGCCGGCCGCACCGACTACCTTTTCCAGTGTCCCCTTATCTGCAGAAAGTGTAATCACCATCGTACGCCTCGCGTCCTGAACAGATCCTACCGTACCAAAAGTAGAACCCTCATGACGATTTTGACCTCTCCTCGATGAAGTCTCGCCGAGCTTCCCCTTTCCAGAAGAGTCCTCCACCCTCTCCAATTTAATGGGTAACAACTTACTCCTCATCTCCCTTTCTTCTGGGCCGGCCACCCTCTTGTCCTTCTCCCCAACTCTCCGAGCATTAATACTCACTACAGACGAACCGGCCACAGCTCCCGATGGTGCCGAGGGAGCCTTCCTGCCAGAAAACTTAGGAACGTTTATCAACCGCTTTTCCATCTTCCCTCTTTCGTCAAAATGAACTGCAACAAGAAAAAGAAGGTTAGAGAACAAAAGGCCCGATTAAAAGCAAACCTTTAAAAAAATTGTGAAACTTGTAATCCTGCGACAGAGTGCCCTAACTTTCCAAGCCTCGGCAATTACCGGCTACTGCTAAACTCCTAATCATCAAATTTTTCTGTGATCCTCCACGAAATCCACAGGACGTTTCTCGCCGCTCGGATGGAAAACTGCAAAAAGAACAAACAAAAATCAACTAAGCAACATCTCCAAAAAAATAAACACAAGAAAAATTGCTAAATCTACCAAATGCCAAGCTCCACCGACTCAAAAAAGTCATATCATTGCCACCGTGAACTAACGTCGAGTTCACTTGAGCATAAAAGTAACGCCCCCACCATCGATGAGACTTCTTCGGAACACCAGCCACGATCTTGTTTCCCAGTTTTATATTCATAACAAGAGTCTGCTGAACTCCTTTGATGTTCCAAATCACATTCGATATCTCCTCAAAGAAACGATGACTCATGTCAACACCACACGAAGAGGCCACTATAATCGCTTTGGCCATATTCCGGATCGCACCCGGACAAAGCTAAGTTAATGCAACCTCCCTGGCCTCACAATAATTCATTAAGAGTTCGGGCAACAGGAACCATAACTGAAAATGCTCAAACCAGTACTCGTAGAGGCGTATCCAACCCAGAGGAGGTGTCGAGGGACGCTCATTCACCCCCGGCGCTCGAAACTCTAAACCAGAAACTCTGCACGCAACTTGAATCGCTTATAGAGATCCCACCGTAAACTTATAATGAGGAAACTCGCAAAACAGAGAACGCAAGGGAGACTCGGGCTCCATAGAATCCACGCTGGGATCATTCGTAGCAACAAGCTCTGTACTAACATTGCCATCGCAACCGGCCACCCCACTCGTCCTAGGACTATCAACATCCATAACAGAATCGCCAGAACACGTCACATCCACCTCAATATAAAAAGAAGCCGACTATGTCCCAACCGAGGAGGACGACGATCCAGAACAACTAGGCGAAGACGTCGAATTGATACTGCCTGAAGAGGAGGCTGACTTTGCCTCGCCCGGTGGAGATACAATCTTCTCCTAACTCCCTGCAATCTGCGATCCTCCTGTCCAAAAACAGATGTTCCATCGTTCCGCATCTGAAAAGAAAACGAAAAAGTTAATATCGGCCTACCTAAAGAGACCTTATCGAAAAATGGCCTACCACAAAATCGGCTACCGAAAAATGGCCTACCACAAAATCGTCTACAAAAAAAATGGCCTACCTACAGATAACTCATCAAAAAAAAATTCTACCTAAAAATATCATACCAAGAAGCGGCCTACCTAAAAATAGCCAACCTAAACATGGCATACCTTCATATACGCCTACTAAAATAATTAAAAAATTCCATCGCAAAAATAATTGAAACAGTCAATTCCTACAAAAAAAGGGAAGATAAACCAACCTGTAAAATGTGCCGACCTACTGGAAAGGAAATGTGCTGACCCACCAACAAAGAAATAACCCGACTTGCAAAAGGAGGAGAAAAGTAAAACTACAAAAACGAAGACCATTTCAGAATAAAAAAAAGAAAAAAAATAATAACAGCCGACTTTAAAGCCCAGAAAATGGCTGACTTAGACAGAGCAAAATCTCAAGCAGGTCTTGCAGAAATTAAAACAGAAACATATCTCCAAGCAGCTATTGAAACATAGGCCGACCTCAAGCATCGGTTAAAATAGAAGACAACCCAGAGAATTAACAAAGCCGACCTCAGACAACAATACAACTGAAAATAGAAACCAACCTCAAGGAATAATAATAAAAAGTCGACTACAACAGCAAAATGGAGACGATTTCCGACCTAGATATCAGCCGACGCTGGTCCCAATAGAAAAAATAGATGACAGTCGATCCGAATCAAGAATGCAACACTAACGCCGACAGTGAATAAAACATTGATGCCGGCCAAAATTATACTCCTGATACTAAGATGATTCCCATAATACTGATCAGAAACAAAATCGATTGGCGAATATGAGAGCCCAATTAAATCAAAGCCAAGCCTTCTTTCGCCACTAGAAACCCAGATTCGCCGGCCCCAAAAGTTTAAACAGCCGACCTCACCCCTGAAATCAAGCACTAGCAACCATCAAATATGAAGCGACTTCACCAGACACAAACTCCGATGTCAAAGGCCTCAGAGCAAATCAGGGAAAACGAATGAAGCACCGCTCCTACAGGCGTCCAAATCAGAACATCGGAAATGAACTCATGCCAGCGAGATAAAATAAAACCAACAACCGAGACCCAGCATCAGATAACCTGGAATTTGGAGGCCTCAGGGCAAGCTGCCACCAGCGAACTCCAGTGACTCCCAAAAATACAAATCGGCAAAATAAGTGCCTCAGGATCTCGTCTCAGCCGCGGGACTATAGCGACACAAAAGAAACCAAAGTGGAATCGAAAGAAGACGGGAGAGGAAAGAAATTTACCTTATTTTATGAACAGTGCCAAAGTGGAGAGAAGTATGAGAAAGAAGAAGAAGAGAACTATTTATAGTCCAAATGTGAGAAGCAGTAAAGAGACATCATTTTAACCTAATGCAACGCTGGGATCCGCGCATGTACCGGCTATTCTGTACAAGGAACCACTTTTGGAACCAATCTTGATAAATGCCGAGCTAATTAATTTCAAAGAATCTATTGACTCAAAATTAAGACCTTTCGCCAAACAGACTAGGGGGAACTTACTGTTGGCACCAGGCCCAAGAAGGGTCTGTTCAATCAGCTCGGCCCATATCAGGATTTCAGCCCATATAAGACATTGAAAATGGCTACCCAAATTCGAGGACAAGGCCCAGCAAGATCAGTTCAGTCAAAACGCTCATGAACCCCACATGACCACCGCCTTAATTTACTATAAATAGGACCATACCTCCAGTACAAAAATGATATTTTCTGGGATTTACGGGAGTAAGCTCTAAACACGCTCTAAATATGTTCTCATTTTTAGAGGTTCTCATTTGTAGAGGTTCTCACTTTTGAGGTTCTCATTTTTGAGGTTCTCGTTTTAAGGGTTCTCACTTTTGAGGTTCTCGTTTTTGAGGTTCTCCTTTGGGAGTCCCATTATAGTATTTTTGATCTTGTTTCTTGTAATCGATCGGCTCGTTTTATCAATAAAATTGCATTATTCTGAAAGTTGGATCCCATAATCAACAAAAATCAAACTTTCATCTCTGAGATATACATGCAGTTTAAAAAGAATGTGTGATTATTTTACACATAACTTTGATCTCTGAGATATAGAGAATGGGCTTGTAGCTTAAAACTTTCATCTCTCAGACATATCATAAAATTTTCAACTATGAAAATTCCAGAATCATTGACTTGGAAACTACCAATAACCAGGCAAAAAAATAAGATCTATATTATTTTTTTAATCTAAACAGCACGCAGAGCAATGATGTCAAGCAAAATAGCGATCTTGAAGAACAAATCCATTAAGGCTCGAAATTGAAAGATTTCTCAGATACATTAAAACAATCTTCTTTCATCTAACCAGAACAGAGGAAAAAAATTAACAAACACATTACCAAGAAGAGATAAAGCCAAAATATTAGACCTTTGTTTACATCTGATTGTTGTCTGAAATCAGATTTTCACCCCTCACCCTAAGTTGAAACCTGCTCCGAGAACTCTTTGTGCCAGTGTTCTTCTGTTGAATGTGCTATGCAGTCCTCTTGGTGCACTTCCATCAAGACGTATTGCCCTTTGTATGGACTTATGCACTTAAGGAATACCCCGCTGTACAACTTTATTAAAATTACCCCCGGGAGATCATGTAGCGGAAGGCTTGCTTCCACACTTTCTCCGCCTCGCGGAAGCTTTTTGGGAGCGTTCTTTGCCAGAGGTAATCTCATATCGCTTGCATCTAGCCTTTGTAGCCTTCTATGTGGTTGATCTCAACCAAACTTTTGTCATCAATGTTGCAAAGGGATGGCCATTGCAGGTGGATCACTGGGATGCTTTCCTTTGGAACCTCGATTAGAGAAGATCACTAGGATGCTTTCCTTCGGGATCTCGATCAGTGCGGATCACTAGGATGCTTTCCTTCGAGACCTCGACTCTGCTCCCTTGGGTTTCACTCTAATTGGATCTTCGCATGGTGGTTTTAACGGTGCCCAAGTATGCGGTCATTCGAGTGTCCTTTGTCAGGTACTCTCCCCGTACTTAGTTCACGACAAGTTGCAAGTTGTTGTACAGGATGAGGTCCCTTGCTCCGAGATCTAGGGCAATGTGGAGTCTGACGAGGACCTCTTCATATTCTGCTTCGTTGTTGGTCGTGCGGAAGCCATATTGGATTGCTTGGTGCGCAACTTCTCCTTCAGGGAAGATGAGCATGATACCTAGTCCAACGCCCCAGAAGTTGCGCGCCCCATGGACGAATATTTTTCATTCCCCCATCGGGGTCACTCTCTCGATCGTTGTGATGTTGTTGCTCTCGAGATTTTGTAGTGTGAAGTTGACAATGAAATTTGCGTGGGTTTGAGGCTTGATCGCCGTACGTCCCACATACTAGATTTCAAACTGTATGAGCTCCACCGCCCACTTCATGAGTCATCCTGATAACTCAGGTTTGTTGAGCACATTCTCGAGCAAGGCGGCTGTGACCACGGTGGAGTTTACGGCTGCCAAGGATGAGGCCTAGCGCTAGCTTTTCCAGTTTAGTGTATTGCATTTCTGCGTCCAGCAGGGTATGGCTGGTGTAATAGATCAGGAGCTGCATATCACTATCTTCTCATACCAAGACCGAGGAGACTGTATAGCAGAAGTGGTTCTCCCGATCACAGTTTCTGGCTTGGATGAAACAAAATAGTAAGGGTTCATTTGCTTGGACTCTTACTTTTGCACAGATATCGTATCACTATACATATGATAGTAAAGCTAAGGAGTTCAATTTGAGAAGAAGAAATGGTTTTAGCATTGGAAGGATTAACTATGTTCCTAAGAAATTAGAAAGTGATTACTATCTCCAAGTTCTTTTGAACATAGTTACGGGTCCTAGAAGTTTTGAAAAGATCAAAGAATACAGAGGAGTTGTTTACAAAACATACAAAGATAGCATATTTTGCACATGGTATTTTGGAAGATGATCAGATGTATATTGACAGTATAATATTGTCGATTTTATGTTGTTTTGGCGATTATCTTTGTAACCTATTTGCAGTGATGCTTTCCTCTGATTGCTTAACGACTCCATAAGATGTTTGGGAGAAAACATGACATATATTATCTGAGGACATGGAGAGAAAGAAAAGAATTGATTTCAATAATCCTGGTTTGAGAAAATATTTCTGTTTTATACTTACTATTAAATAATTGCATGTTGTTAGCAGTAATGTATTATATTTATTGTTTTGGTTTTCATAGATCTTTATTTAAATGACGCTGACAAGAAAAATTTACTCTAAAAGCAATTGAAGAGATACTGTTGAATAAGGAAACTTCTTTTAGTCGTTTTAAATCAATACCACAACCAACTGGAG